AGGAAACTCCCATCTGGTTCCTTAGATGATGCTCTCTGTTTGGCCATAAGAGGGAGCCTAGGAGTAGTGGACAACGTTGCACAGTCTGCTCAGGCAAAGGAGGAATCACAGGTGGGTGGAATGGCAGCCGAACCAGAATGCTGCCAACTAGTTAAGTTAGGGTGGAGCCCTGACATGTTGGACGTCCTCACTTTTACCTTGGCTAAAATCCTGCTGAAATATTTTTGATCTGGTGAGGGGCCGGCGGCAGACTTATAGGAGAACTATGAGGCGATTGAAAATCACTGATCCTCATAGTTCGAGCCGACGTGTGACACTAAAACTGTCACCTGTCAGCTCAATAGATCGGGAAGTGAGCGAACACATACCGTCACTCGCTCACTTCTCGATCATGTCCCTGCAGAGAGCCGTGACTGTCACTCACTGCTCCCTGCAGGGATTCCCCCACCCCTGTCCGATCCTCCAGCGCTGACTGGCGGAACGGACGGGGCGGGTACAGCTGGCTCTGCCTCTAGATAGGCAGAGCCAGCTGTCAATCACGCAGCTGGGTGGATCTCCACAGTAATGTCGGGAATCCGTCCCGGCTGTGGCGGTCTCAGTATATAGTTCTCCTTTAAGTAAACCCTCCAATTGTGTATAGATAAAAAAAAAAAAGTTTCCACAAGTAATCAATTTCTAACATCTAAATGAATATAGTAGGAAAACAGGACATACCTTTAAAAGTTTTTGTAACTAAAGTATTTCATATTATTTTCCATAGAGCTGCCCGGTATATTAGATACTTTGAAAACCACAACAGCGCAGCTGATGGCACTGAAGAATAATGGTGGCAGTTCTTCCTGTGTGGGTCCATCCTGTGCAACAGAATCCGTCTCTTCTCCATGTCAAGCATCATACTCTGGGCCTAAACAGGTTGGTTTGCTTTTTTTCCTACACCTGAATATTCTGGGGGAATTTATTTTTAAGTGCTACAAAAATAACGCAGTAAACTGCACTAGCAAGTTTATAGTTGCTTCAACTTGGACATGTAAGCTGCGGAAAAATTCGGTTCGGATATTTCATTATTTCGGGATTCAGATCCGAAATTCGGTTCGGGTTTCGGACTTAATCTGAATTTTCGTTAGTTTTGGATGAGTTTATGAATATTCGTTGCGAGTAAAACCGAAAACCATATACAGATATTAATACTAAAGCTGTATCTCCTAGACCCGAGTGGCGTTCGAGATCCAAATTTCCGAATTACATTACATTACATTTAATGACAGTCAGCATCCCCAGGTCATTTGGAGACGCTGATCTGTCATTACAACAGGGCGGAGCCAGCCGTGAGATCACGACTGGCTCTGCCCAGCTGTCATATGCGGGGAGAATGGCCAGCCTCCCCGCTTCAGGCGTTCTCCCCGCTTCAGCTGTCACTTCGGCTCGGTCGAGCCGAAAGCATATGCCTTCGGCTGCTGTAGGGCTTTTGTGAATTGCCCATACAGCAGCCCTTCGGTTCGACTGAACCAAAGGGCTCCGACGGCCAAAGATGGCTAAAGGATCAGCCGAAGCTAGGGCTGTATCCTTCGGATCAATAGTGAATAACCCCCTTTTGTTTCATAGCTTTCGAAATCCTGCGCTCAACATTGTTTGCAGAACCATTAATCTCTCATTTTCAAGACGGTTTTATTTCAAATTCTTATATTTAATATCTAATTATTAATATGGCATTTATCTCGTTGCAGATGGAGCTGCACCCTGGTACAGGTGTGTACTTGTCTGTACCTCAGTGGACTGCAGCACATCAATGTGGTACGGCTTCTGCATTTGTTAGAGCCGTTCTCGTGTGTTTATTTGACACAGAAACCTTAATAAGAAGTAACTTTAAAGGCGGTTCCTCCAAGCGGCTGACAGATGTACAGAAACGGGTCCAGTTAGACCCTGTGAAAACATCAGCTTTGACAGGTAGACCGCAAACCAGTATGACTGTGACTATTTTGACTGTCACTATGTTGACATATTTTGATGTTTTTATACATGCCTAATATTGTTAGTATGGATGCGCCAATAACGGGAGCCCAAGTGAGACCTCACAGCCCACCTTTAATCCCACATTGACCCCACAAAGACCAGCATAGAGCTGCACAGCCCGCCATTAACCCTGCTCCGCATAGAACTCGCACAACCACCTGAGAGCCACCCAGCCCACCATTTACCCCGCACAGCCCATCATAGAGCCCGCATAGCCAACTGAGAGTCCACACAGCTCACCACAGAACCTGGAAAGCAAACCTGAGAGTCTGCACAGCCTACCATAGTACCTGCACAGCCCATTTGGGAGTCCACTAAGCCCACTATACAACCTGCGCACAGCCAGAGAGTCTCTACTACCCACCATAGAACCTACACAGCCATCTGAGGGCTCTCGCAGTCCACCATCGACCCTGAACAGCCCACCAAAGAACCTGCACAGCCAACTGAGGTGCCACATCACCCACCATTGACCCCGCATAGTCCACCTGAGAGTCTGCACAGCCCACCATAAAACATGCAAAGCTCGCCATAGACCCCACACAGCCAACTGCAGGGGTGTGGAAATAAAAAAAGAAAAAAGCCTACTTGTCCAAGGACTAATGCGCGTGCCCAAACTACTTGTCCCTCATGACAATCTACTTGTCCTGATATATAAAAAATAATTTTATCCAAAACCCTATTTAACCTGCCCTCATAGGAATTCCACACCCCTGCTGCTGAGACCCTGCACAGCCCATTAAGACCCCACAGAGCCCTCCTGAGACCTAGCCACCTGGCATATCAAGTAGGCACCCGGAGCAGCACAGAGTATGTAGCTTCATATTCTGCATTGATGTATAATGCATTGCTGTGATTTTGTAGTCTTCTATAGCTGGTGGTATTCTGCATTGTTGTATAATGTTTTGCTGAGATTTGTAGTCCATCTACAGTTTGGATTCAGTGGCAGAACTACTAGTGGTGCAACATTTGCAACTGGGACCAGGCCCTGGTGCTCCACTACTGTCCTAAAATCATTAGTCTGTATTGTTTAAAAAAAAAAAAAAAAAGATTTGAATAATATTAATATAATATAATACAATTTTATATTTTTCATTTACTTTTTAAAGCTGCTACTTTGGAAAAGTTTCCCCTGACTTCAAAAGGTGTCATAAGCGATGCTGTTAACAGGAAAATAATGCATTGGAAATATATTTTAAAAACTATCAGAAATAGTTGATGATTTTATAGGCCTGTGATATATAAAAATACATTGGAAATACATTTCAGAATATAATAAAGTTTTTTTTTTTTTTGTATTCCTCTGGCACATACTTTGCATTCAGAAGTACATTTAACATAATATTCCAGAACATGAATGAATGAATTCCAAAGTACATTTTTAAATATATTTATGGCTGCAGCAATATATTGCTAAAGGCATTCATGAGGACATTTAACATATATTCCAACATTATATATATACACCAGGGTATTTCACAATTTTTAAATATATTTCAGCATGCATTCGGCACATATATTGAATAATATATTCGTAGATATATTGCAATATATATTTGAAATATATTGAATATGGCCAAAATGGTAATATTTCAAATATATGTCAATATATATGGGAAGAATATATTAAGAATGTCTGTTTTTTTAATATATTTTTCTTCCATGAGGGATTGTGCGTCTCCTGTGGCATGGTTTGATATTGATTTCAATGTTGTGAATATTTTATATGTTTGTTAAACTAATTAAAATTTATGAAAGGTATGCTGTTAAGCTTTCCTAATGTCTGTAAATACTTTTAACCCGTAACGTGCGACAATGTCTGGTGGGATATATACACCCCATATTTTTTTAAAAACAACCTTGTGCCAGTACTCTCCGGATATGAAGGGGAATAACTTCTATTTTCTGTCGCTGTAAGAAAAGTAATCTTGGCTGAATTCTATGTCCTCATCCCTTGTTCTGTGCTGTGTCTCTGTGTGGCGGCGACGGCCATGTTGGTAGAGGCAGGGTATTGCTTCCTCAAGTCGGACACTCCAGCAAGGAAAACAGTGAACAACACAGTAGTGGGATCGCCAAAACTCATTCCAGATCTCCCTTTTTTGTAACCAACTACATCACAGCATACAGATTTGTGATTCCTATTCCAGTGTGCTGCTGTGTATTGCTTTTGGCAAGTTGCCTAAGAGTTGATTTCTGCATTGTACCCAATTTATTGACATTTTGTTTTTTTCCATGTACTTCCTACAGATTAAAGCTGCACAGAACTTTCTGTTCCTGAGACTTCATTTCTCTCTACTGCTGTCAACTATGGCGTCTGCTGACGTGAGGAAAGAGCTGGACTGTTCCATCTGTCTGAACATTTATAAAGATCCTGTTAACCTAGGATGTGGCCACAACTTCTGCCGGGTCTGTATTGATCGTGTGTTGGATACACAGAAGAGGTCTGGAGGTTATTTCTGTCCTGAGTGCAGAGAAGAGTTTCAGGATCGGCCTGTACTGCAGAGGAACATAACATTGCGCAACATAGTGGAGACTTTCCGATCCACTGAATCAGATCGGGAGGAGACTGGGATCCTCTGTACTTACTGTATTCACTCTCCTGTACCTGCTGTTAAATCATGTCTGCATTGTAAAGCTTCTCTGTGTGATGATCACCTGAGAGTCCACAGCAAGTCACCAGAACATGTCTTAACTGAACCCACCACTTCCATGGAGAAGAGAAAATGCTCCGTCCATAGGAAGATCCTGGAATACTACTGTGCTGCAGACGATGCCTGTATCTGTGTGTCCTGCAGGCTGGACGGAGAACACCAGGGACACAAGGTGGAGACGCTGAATGAGGCCTCTGAGAAGAAGAAACAGACACTAAGAAATGTTCTACAGAAACTGATCACAGAGAGAGAGGAGACTAAAAAGAAAGTCCAGAGTCTGCAGGAACGCAGACGAAAATCAAAAGAAAATGTGGCTTACTTTCATTATCTGATCTGATCCAGTGCCTGAAGATAAAGAAGGACCTGCTGTCCAGGAAGATGGGTCACATTGAGGAGCTGTGTAACATGACTGACCCACTGACTGTCTTACAGGAATCAGACACAGAGGACTTGTGTGATACTGAGGAGGGAGATGATGAGGACAGAGAGAGATACGATAAACTCCTCCAAGATGGATGGGATCTGGATGTGGCTGAGATCTCACTTATATTACACACAGAGTTGTCTGATATGGTAAAAGGGGTAAATGTCTGCCTAAAAATACAGGAAGCTTCAGATCTAGTACTGGATGTTAAGACAGCTAGTAATTATCTACAAATAGCAGATGACATGAAAACTGTATCCAGGTCAGACATAAAGCAGAATCGTTCAGAAGCGCCAGAAAGGTTTCAGACCTACAATCAGGTGTTGAGCAGCATTGGATTTTCCACTGGGCGACATTATTGGGAAGTGGATATCAGTAAATCAGAGCGATGGGTAGTCGGAATGTGTTATCCCAGTATAGAGAGGACAGGAGAGCAATCAGCAATTGAATTTAATAACAAGACTTGGGGTTTCCGCAGTTTAAATAATCGTTTTTCAGCAATTCATAACGGGAAAATGACCTCGTTACCTGACAATATCTCTGGTAACAGAGTCAGGATCTATCTGGATTATGAGGCCGGACAGCTGTCCTTTTATGAGCTGTGTGACCCGATCCGACACTTACACACCTTCACCACCACCTTTACTGAGCCCCTTCATGCAGCATTAGGTCTAGGGATAGGTCGTTTAATACTTTTGTAACCAGAGGTCATTGATGCCTAAACACCAAATTTAGCAACGTTAGCATGAGTCGGTCAACGTAAGGGTAAGGGCTCGTTCACACTTTGTGTGGAGTCCTGTGCTTCTCACATTGAGCAATGCAGGCCTCCACAAAGGCTCAATGTTTTTCTACATACTCTGTTCACACCACAATGGAATGGTGTGACACAGAGTCTCTATCTGCCCCTGTAGGCATCGCATAGCAGGTATTGCTATTTGCTAATATAAATATGGCTTCTGCAGAAGAATGGTGGCAAATGTCACTTGAGAGGCTCCTTTTAACCTAAAATGACAGATCAAAGAGAGCAACAGCTGCTTAGCAAAGTTACATCAACTTTTCCATTTTGTATGGCTTTAACAGCAAATTCAAGTAACTTTTTGTTTTATATTCTGTTTTTTAAGCCTCATTCATACACCTTAGAGCCGGCCTGTACAGATCCGTGCAGCGTGGGCGGCTGTATCGGGCCGTTCCTGGGAAGGACATGTGCTGTGTGTGATTGTACGCAGCCTGTTCTTCCCTATGGGAGGACGTGGCCATACTCCACCGTACGCTCACGCGAACTGCACATCCGTGCGGGTGTCCATGCTCGGACACAGACCGGATGCATCCTGTCTGCGTACAAGTACGACATCCGCCCCGGCACGGATGTGCAGTTCGGGTGAGCGTACGACTGAGTACTCCCATAGAGAAGAACAGGCTGCTACGTACAATCATATGCAACACCTGTCCTACCCGGGAACGGCCGATATGGCCATGCACGCTGCGTGGATCTGTACGGGCTCCCATAGGGAAGAATAGGCTGGTACGTACAATCCCACGCAGCACCTGTCCATCCCGGGAACGGGCCGATACGGCTGTGCGCGCCACACGGATCTGTACGGGGCGACTCTAAGCTGTGTGAATGGGGCCTAACTGAGGGCTGTAATGGTTACTTGTGATTAGGCCACCATAGTGGAAAGGTTGTCTATACTGATGTATATGTAAATAAGGGATAGTATATAATGAAACAAAGGATCTTATAATAGACATGGTGGAACGGAGGTACCCAGGAACCACATGTATACAGTCATGTAAAAAAAAGTATTTGAACAGGCAAACATTAAATCCTTAATCAAACAGTGCCCGCAGATAAGGATGGAAAGGAAAGGAAGGAGAATAACTGTCTGGCGCACCCTGTGTAGAAGCAAAATGTTCAGGGATGTTTGACACTCACGTGTGGTGGAATGGATGGGTGCAAAGGTGGTGGTGTTATCGTGATGTCTCCTGGTGATGTTAACGTGAGGTCTGGTCTAGGTGGCAGATGGAAGTTCGACGGTCAGATGTGGATCCTCGGGGGGGTGGGGGGGCTGGTTGGTGGTGCGTCAAAATCAACGTGGAAGAAGAAAGATACAAAGTGGTCAGAATCTGGGCAATTAAAGGACAAGGAAATGCACTCTAAACTTACCATTAGGTTTGGTGTGTGGCGATATCACGATATCAACGACGAAGAACATGTGGTGAAAGTGAGGGAGTTTGTCCAGCTGGCTTCTCTTTTGCTGGCGGTTGACGGTCTTTGGGTCCTGGCTGGTTAGGGACAGGTGCTGTTGGGGTGCTGTGGTGACGAAGAGTCCTGGATCATGGCGTGATGTCGGGTGGTGAGGAGGAAGCTGTAGATGTGGACTTGTTTTTGTTGCTGTAGTTCAGAAATGATGCCCCAGAGGATGAATCGGATAACTCAATTGGGATGAAGTGATTCCACGTTGTTGGAGGTGTGGATGGAATGCCTCATTTGCAGAAGGAGCCGGGGGAGGATAAGATGGGGGAGAGGGGGGGGGAGCATGGTGGTGGAAATGCTATGATTTAGGCTTGCTTTACTGCTTGAGGACTTGGGCAGCTTGTAGTCATTGAATCAACTATGAATTCTGCATCATATCAAAGTGTGTGGTGAGAATGTCCAAAAGTGGAAGTTAAGGCCGGAATAGATCCTTCAAAGTGATATAGATCCAAAGCACATTGGCTAAAATAGAACGTTCAACATTATATGGATTGGTCTACAGCACATTGATCCAGAAGGCCTGGCCTATCACTATATGTTCAATGGAAAAACTATTCTTGTTTTGGGGAATGTCCAAAAGTTAAGGCAGAAATAGATCTTTCGACATGATATTGATCCAAAGCACAGTAACTAATCCATCAAGGAATGGCTCAGAAAGAACATGGTGAGTGTTCTGGGTTGGCCTTTTCAAAGCCCTGATTTGAATCCTATGGATTTGAAACACACCGTTCATGCAACCAAAGGAAAGTTTGCATGGAGGAGTGGTCCAAAATGGCCACATTGTCACAGAGACTGTTGGGCCTCAATGCAAAATCCCTGCTAGAGGTCTCTTCTGCCAAAGGAGACAGTAACCTTCTTCTGAGGCCAAGGGTGTACTTACTTTTTCAACAGCACACCATTGATATTTTTGTTAAATAAAGGATCGAGAAGGCAGATTTTCCCCTTCTTGTTATTCAAGCATGTCACATTTATCCGTGGCCATTGAATGGATATCTAATGTTTTCCTGTTCAAATACATGGAAAAATGTAACAGCTTCCATGGGATGTGCTTATTGGTGTTTTTATTTTTTACATGACCTTAAATTTACCTGAAAGATGACCAGTCAGCTTTTTCCATAATGACCATTCCAAATCTTCCTTTCATTGTCGAGCCTTGATATGAAAACCAGGATCTGGTAGGCTGATAGAGGAGGTAGAGGCATTAGAATTAAATAACTGATAATAGGGTGATGAGAAAGCTTCTACATATAGACTTCCTGTCTGTGATCTGTTTTGGCTTTTAAACTTCTCTTTCTTAGTGTAATATTAATTCCATATCATTCTGGTGATGGTCCATATATCTGCACAAATGTATCAATAAAAGTAACAGAAGAGATTGTTGTCTGTGTTTGATACTTTGTGACAGTTGATGGTAATAGGGGTCCAGGGAGGAAGTTCCCCTTCCTTCCTTCCTTTTTGTGTGTGTGTGTGTGTGTGTGTGTTTGTATCTTTGCAAAGTCCTCTTGCGGAATACTGGGTTTGGGGATTTTCTGTATTGTGCCATCCACCAGTCACTGTACTGAGAGAGCTCCAGAGTCCTGTAAAGAAGGTGGATAGAAGGGGTTCTATCTTTTTTGTCTTCTCGTGATTATGCAATAAGGAGTATAGACCAGTCTCTGACAAAATGGCTGAGCCCTGTTCTGGAAGGGTCCTTGAGAGGCCTTCCTGCCTAGGGGGAAAAGGCTGCATCTTCAACTGAGATTTTAAGATTACCTCCTTCACTGATATATCTAATTGTCAGTCAGTACAATGCACCTACACTGAGTGGCCAGATTATTATGACCACCTGACATTTGTAGGCAAATTAGCTATAATTTGGTGCTGAAGTTGCTAGAGGGCCAGACCATTATAAATAGGGAAGCGGGTTGGTTACCACGACAGTAGAAGTGATTTGTTTCTGAAGATACGGGGAAACAGCGCGATGTAACAGCCTTTGAACGAGGGATGATTGTTGGCGCTCAGAGCCATGGAGCGAGTATCAGCAAAACGGCAGAATTTGTTAAATGTTCAAGAGGGGCTCATTGTTAAAGTGTTTAAAGACCGGACTGTCAGCCGAAAATCTGGGTCTGAACGTGCGAATTGTGGCCGTCAGCGACTAGTCAATGTTAGGGCAGAACGGAGAGTGGCAAGACTGGTACAAGACAACAGAAGGGCAACAGTGCCGTGTCAGATTCCTCGCATCACCTTTCACCATCTCGTGGAGTCACGAGGCGGCCCAGCGAAGTACTGATGGGGTGGTCATAATAATCTGGCCACTCAGTGTATATTGCCAATTACATAATTAAATAGTGGGAAAGTGTTAGAGGGTTTGGCAGGTTGTTTCTGTGTGTGTTGTGTGATCCTGTTTAGATTTCTCTCATCTCTCTCCCTACTGTCTCTTGCCCCTTTCCCTGCTCTCTCTCCCCCCTCTCTCCGCTCTCTCCCCCTTCTGCTCTCCCCCCTGTCTCCCACCTCTCTCCGCTTTCTCTCCTTCCTCTCTCCATTCTCTCTTCTCTCTCTCCGCTCTCTTCCCCCTCTCCGCTCTCTTTCACCTCTATCCGCTCTCTCTCCCCCATCTCTCCTCCCCTCTCTCTCCACACTCATACCACTCTTTCTCCCCCCCTGCTCCCCCCCCTACTCTCTCCCCACACTCATGCCACTCTCTCTCCCTACTGTCTCTTGCCCCTTTCCCTGCTCTCTCTCCCCCCTCTCTCCGCTCTCTCCCCCTTCTGCTCTCCCCCCTGTCTCCCACCTCTCTCCGCTTTCTCTCCTTCCTCTCTCCATTCTCTCTTCTCTCTCTCCGCTCTCTTCCCCCTCTCCGCTCTCTTTCACCTCTATCCGCTCTCTCTCCCCCATCTCTCCTCCCCTCTCTCTCCACACTCATACCACTCTTTCTCCCCCCCTGCTCCCCCCCCTACTCTCTCCCCACACTCATGCCACTCTCTCTCCCCCCTCTCACTGCTCTCTCCCCTCTCTCTTTTTGCTTTCTCTCCTCCTTTTCTCTGCTCGCTTTCTCTTTCCCCACTCACTATCCCCCCTCTCTTCCTTCTCTCTCTCCCCTCATAGTTACTGATGTCTGTGAACTGGTGTGAAGATTCACTAACAATTAATATTCTGCCTCATGAAAGGAAGTATTGACTTGATAAGATTTCCCTTTTTGCCCCCCAGTAAGTAAGAACTCGGCATATTTAGTATTACTTGAACTTGTCCTGAATATGTCCATAAAAGTCACCAACATTTCTTGGATTACACCCAAGAATGAATTTGACACTTCAAAACCCCAATACAGAGTAATACACAACACTGAGTTTTAAAGTTGCTCCTAAACTTAACCACAACCTACATCTTATACCTAATTTCCTATGCTGAAGTCCTAAATGTAACCTTGAATGTGACCTGCACCTTAACCCTACTCTTAAAAGGAACATAACCTCTAACCCTGATCT